CTCAGATGGTTAAGCGTCTGCCTTCGGCTCAGGTCATGATCTCAGGGTCCTGGGATCGAGTCCCACATCGGGTTCCCTGCTCAGTGCAGAGCCTGCTTCTCCCTCTCCCTCTGCCACTCCCTCTGCTTGTGCTCTTCTGTCTATCTCTCTGTCAAATAAATAAATAAAATCTTAAAAAAAAATATTTAAACATAAAGTATATTAGAATCTTAGATATCAGAGGGAGACATTTTCTAGAATTTGATCTAGATGTTATACAGTAGACTCTTGCAGTATTGTTCTGGATCTGTGTTGGAAGAGAAAAATAAGATCAAGGGTCAGAAGCTTGTACTAATGCTTCACAACATTGTTAACCACATGGAGAAAGCATATTAAGCATACATTACACCCAGAATCTTGAAATTAATGCATATTTATGAGAGGAGTATAAACAAACAAGGAAGTATTACAATGACACACTGACATAGTGACACTAAGTACATGGGGCAAATACTAGTGTTTTCTCTTTGGATAAATACGGTGGCTACAGATACAATACTAGCCATTCCACTTAGCAGTAGCTTGACTATTACTGGATTACCAACTCGAATAACTTGTTTAGAGTTGAAGAGGAGGAGTTGTGAACATCTAAACACTGAGGATTTGCATCATAAAAGCCCTAGGACTAGTATTCTAGTTCTAACAGAGTTCTCTTCCCAACATGTCTTGGAGAACTTTAATCCAATGGGCTGTGTCTCCCTTACTAGGTTGAAAATAAGAGCTTCTCTACTTGTTTTACTAATCCCAAAGATTAATTCAGTAGAAGTCCATGCATACTTTTACTGGTTCCTTTGCTTTATCTAGAAAAATAAAATGTAAAAAATAGTTTGACAGTTTAAAATTTGTTTTATGTAGTATAGTAAAACAAAGATTCCCATTTTAATACTACATCATATATGCAGTTGCTAAATATTGCATTGTAATAATTTAATGACCTGAAAATAATGTAAATATATAAATGTGTGTGTGTGTATGTGTGTATTCATGTAATGCTCTTTTTAACTTCAGAAATCATTTTTTAAAAGTGAATACTTGAGGGGTACCTAGGTGGCTCTGTCAGTTAAGCATCTGACTCTTGATCTCAGCTCAGGTCTTGATCTCAGCGTCATTTAGTTCAAGCCCCACATTGGGCTCCACACGCAGCAGGGAGCCTACTTAAAAAAAAAAAAAGGGTGAAGACCTAAAGAAGCCACCACTGTAATTATAAAAAAAAATTTTGACCAGTGTTAGAAAGCAAAATTAATTAACAATGAATAAGGAGTTATTATGTGATATATATCATATGTTTTGCATTTTATTTAATTATCAAAACAATATATTTGCTAGACTGTTATCCCCATTTTATGGAAGAAGAAACTGAGATTACATACTTTATTGAACTTGGTCAACTTCTTGTAACTAATATATTACGGAGTTTTTAAAGCCACATATGTCTGACTCTAGACCCTGTACTTTCTTGAATGCATCATATAAAGCTTTGCACTGTCCCTGGCCAAAAACAACTTTTGTTAAATTGATTCTTCGCTTTTTGATCTGTAAAGGAAGTATGTTGGCCTATTTTAGTGATCTCCATGTTTTTAAAAAGCAATAAATAATGTTCACTACACATACAGTTTTTTTTTTTTTTCTGGTCTGTATTCATTATTGCAAAACAACTATGACTCAGTGATGCTTTGAACTTAATTTCAATTTTATTAATTAAAACACATCTGTATACATATGAAAACTACCAGTTGTGACAACAGAATAGAGAGCTTTGTTTTGAAAAGTAATTTATAACTGAAAATTGACCATAGATAAATTGTGAAGGTGGGAGCCACACATATGGGGGTAAAAGTTGGCCTGGAGTCATTTTTTTCTTTCTTTTTTAAAACAGTTGTAGCCATTAAACTTTTTTGTTGAAGTATAATTAACATACCGTATTCTATTCATTTCAGGTGTACTATATAATGATTCAGCAATTCTGTACATTACTAAATACTCGTCATGATAAGTGTACACTTAATCCCCCTTATCTATTTCACCCATTCCCCCCCATCCACCTCCCCTCTAGTAACCACCAGTTTGTTCTTGTATTTAAGAGTTTGGTTTTTTGAGGCGCCTGGGTGGCTCAGTTGGTTAAACGTCTGCCTTCAGCTCAGGTCCTGATCCTGGCGTCCTGGGATCAGTCCCCGAGTCGGCTCCCTGCTCCCTGGGGAGCCTGCTTCTCCCTCTCCCTCTGCTGCTTCCCCCTGCCTGTGCGCTCTCACTCTCTCTCTATCAAATAAATAAAATCTTAAAAAAAAAATGTTCGGTTTTTTTGTTTGTTTATGATTCACCAATTCTATATATTACTTAGTGCTCATCACAATATATGAACTCAATCCCCTTTATCTATTTCACCCATTTCCTACCCCACCTCTGGTAACCACCAGTTTTTCCCTATATTTAAGAGTCTGGCTTTTTTTGGGGGGTGGGGTCTTTTTTTTCTTTGTTCATTTGTTTTGTTTCTTAAATTCCACCTATAAGTGAAATCGTATGGTATTTGTCTTCCTCTCTCTAATACATTTCACTTAGTATTATATCCTGTAGGTCCATCCACATTGTTGTAAATGGCAAGATCTCACTTTTTTTTTTTTTTTTATGGTTGAGTGATACTCATTTGTATATATACACCACATTTTCTTTATCCATTCATGTATGAATGGACACTTGGGTTGCTTCCATATCTTGGCTATTGTAAATAATGCTGCAATAAACATAAGGGTGCCCGGAGTCATCTTAAATGAGCTTCATCCAAAAGGACTTCCTAATAAGCAACAGGATCCCAAAAGAGAGTCTATGAAGAGATGGACCTGCTGAGAAGCAAATCACAGTGAATTGTAGGTGAGAGATGCCTAACAATGAATGGAGACAGAAGTAAATGTTCTGAGGAATCTTGTAAGGAACTGATATACCCTGCAAGGGAAAAAACCAAGAGTCAGCTTTGACACCTGCCAAACCAGACAGCAATGATGGCAACTCACGAAAGTACCAGCAGGCAGGAGCTTTCCTATGCCCTTAACTCTATCCACCATCTTGAACCCTGATGTGATCAGAAACAGTGCAAGTTAGCAATTGAGGAGAGAAAGACAAGTTGGGAAAATAGAGGAATATCTATCCAAGCCGTATTGTATACCTCAGGCCTGCCTTCTGTTGCGTGGCTGATTAGGTGAGTGCAAAAGCTTTAATTTTAAATGAAGCTTGTAGTTTTTATTATACTCTGGTTGTACCTATCACTTTCAGAATTAAAATAGTTTAAGTAACTAAAGTACCAGGGGGATTTTTATTATTTAAGACAGCTATGGGACACCAACCAAGATTTTATCCAGGGAAAGGAGAAGAATTACCCTCTGGAGCACACTTTAATGGACATTGTGAGAGAAAAAGTTATTTAATGATTTCATTTGTCAATTCTGTTCCTTCAGAATATCACTGTAGATTTATATATCCATATATCATATATCAAAAAATACACATTTATCTTTATATGTGCATGTATCAGATGGAGCACATTGCCTTTTGCAGATTTTGCTTTTTAAAAATTCTTACTTGATTATTCTCTTAATTGCATTTCTCTATATTTCTAAATTTTTTAGCTATAAACGAAGGGTCAAGTTTTTATATGCAAGATTCTATGTTTTTCTTTATAATTGGAGAAAATCATATCTAAACACCATGTGCACATGATATGTGACACCCCATCATATTTGCATGTGAATGTTTATAAAGTACAAATCATTTCAAATTCCCAGGATCAGAATTAGATTTGGAAAAAAAAAATGTATTCAATAAGATGTGTAAGATGAGATAGAATTAATTCTAATTGAATTCACATAGGATTTGAAATTAGATGTAAATCTGTAATATCGTATTACATTAAGTATAAATTAGTATTTGATTTGCATTCAGAAAAATGTACTATGTTCACTTCTGAGAACCATTTAGAACATTAGAACAGATATTCTATCTTTATTTTCTCTTTTCCCCTTGCCACTTAAATGTTATTGAAAAATCTGTCTAACTTGATTGCCAATATTAAAGACTGGTTTTGAGAAATCCAGAGAAACTAAGATTCATATTTTAGAGAAAGAATACAGTAAGAAGTATTTTTATAAGTGTCAAAAAATGTTTCTTAAGAGGTAACAATTTTAATACCTTAAAAACTAATCTAACAAATACTGAACTTTAGTTAAGGCTAGAAAAGATATACAAAACACAAGAATTTCTTGAATAAATGTTCCACATTTAGCTTAAAGAATTAATTTAGGACTTGGTATTCCACTGTTAGTATGTGGACATTAAAGAAATGTTATTTGAAACTGATAATGGTAATTAACTTAGAAAATCTTTAGAATTTGGATTTAGGTCCTATGATTCAGAATTTAGATGTTGTCCGAAGGAGATTCGTATTGGACCCTAAAACTACCATTTAATTAGGTGTATTAAAAAAAAAAGAAAATTCTAACATAAAAAGCTGTTAATGTCCTATATGACCTCATTCTTACTACTATGATGTAGGTGATAAAGTTTATAAGACGTGTATTTATATTTCATTATTAACCATGGCTATTCATAAAAAATTAAACCCCAAAATATAACAAAAATGAATAGTTATTAATGTTTAGTATTACTCTGAAAATTGAGACTGTTTAAATGCTGGTTGTGATTATATAGCATTCTGAATTCCGTGAATCCTTTGACAGTCCTAATTTCCTACCTAAGAGCTATTCTCCACTTCTCCCTTACTGACAGGACCCCTTTTTGTTCAGGTTGGCAGTGTTCCCGGATAAAATACCTTCTCAGACTCTGTTGCAGCCAAGAGTAGCATTGTAATAAAAGTACAGGCAAGGAGATAGAAGTATATTTCTGCTAAGAGACTTCTGGCATTATTTTTGTTTTTCTAATACAAACATTCTTTTTGTCCCTTTCTCTTTCTCCAGCCTAAAGCACAACTGAAGAGGCAGAAGCCATCCTGCCTCTATAATTAGACAAGCATGAAGATAAAACCTTCCCTATGAGGATAATGGAACAAAGTGATAGAAGGGGCCTAGACTCCCTTCCTTTAGACTTCTTGTTATCTGAGGAAAATAAAATGCTATTACAAGTTTAAGCACAGAGATGGGCTTCTATTTCGTGCATATCAATACATCACAATTCATATAATGTCCATTAATTGGCAAAAGTATCCATTTTAAAGGATTAATATGAGAGACTAACAGATACCTAACTACAGTTAAATCTCAGAAAAATTATAGTTTTTTAACCCATCGTATTTTTGAAATTGATCTCTCAAAGTCAGTTATCAAACTATTAAATACATTTGAACATTGCTATGCATTGTTACAGTGAATCCTGTTATTTTCTAGGTGTATTATTGTGTATGTGCCCACACGCACATGTGTGTGTATTTACATATACTCAAGGAATCTGAAGGAACCATGATTTTATAGGCCACTCAGTGCCCAAACTCATATCTCTTAACTCATTCTTTTTTTTTTCTTTTTAAGATTTTATGTATTTTGGGGGGCTCCTGGGTGGCTCAGTCATTAAGCATCTGCCTTCAGCTCAGGTCATGATCCCAGAGTCCTGGGATCAAGCCCTACCTCGGGCTCTCTGCTCCGCGGGAAGCCTGCTTCTCTCTTTCCCACTCCTCCTGCTTGTGTTCCCTCTCGCTGTCTCTCTCTCTGTCAAATAAATAAAATATTTAAAAAAAAAATATTTTATGTATTTTTTGAGTGGGGAAGGGGCAGACGCAGAGAAGAGAGAGAATCTCAAACAGACTTACATTGAGCATGGAGCCTGATGTGGAGCTTGATCTCATGACCCTGAGATCATGACCTGAGCCAAAAACAGGAGTCAGATACTTAACTGACTGAGCCACCCAGATGCTCCTCTCTAATTTATTCTTTTTTTTTTAAGATTTTATTTTATTTATTTATTTGAAAGAGAGAGAATGAGAGAGAGAGAGAGAGCACATGAGAGGGGGGAGGGTCAGAGGGAGAAGCAGACTCCCCGCCGAGCAGGGAGCCCAATGTGGGACTCGATCCAGGGACTCCAGGATCATGACCTGAGCCGAAGGCAGTCGCTTAACCAACTGAGCCACCCAGGCGCCCCTCTAATTTATTCTTTAAACCTTTCTATTCAATATCCACTTCCTTAGGGAATAAATCCTAATGTAACCCATTAAAAATGATTTAATGATTTATTTATCTTCAACTTATCATTGGAGGCTTCTGGTGTGTGTGTGTGTTGTCCCATTTACTTTATTTGTATACCTACTTTCTTGAGGGTTTTTATCATAAATGGATGCTAAATTTTGTCAAATGCCTTTTCTATATTGAGAAAGCTATGTGATTTTAATCATTTCATTGATGTGGTGTATCACACTGATCGATTGGTGAATGCTGAACCATCTTTACATCCCTGGAATAAATCCCACTCAATATGGCATATCATCCTTTTAATGTATTGTTGGACTCAGTTTGCTAATATTTCTTTGAGGATTTTTGTATCTATATTCATCAGTAATACTAGCCTGTAATTTTTTTTGTGGTGTCCTTGTCTGGTTTTGGTATCAGGGTAATGCTGGCTTCATGAAATGAGTTTGGAAATGTTCCCTCCTCTTTGATTTTTTTTTTTTTTTGAAGAGTTAAAGATTGATATTCTTTAAATCTTCAGTAGGAAAAAACAAAAAAGTCTTCCATAGAATTCACCAGTGAAGCCATTTGGTATGGACTTTCGTTTGTTGGGAGGTTTTTGACAACGGATTCAGTCAACCTCCTTAATTATTCTTATGTTCAGATGTTTTATTTCTACATTACTCAGTCTAGGTAGGCTGTATATTTCTAGGAATTTATCCATATCTCATATGTTCAATTTGTTGGCTTGTAATAGTTCATACTACTTTCTTTGATCCTTTGTATTTCAGTGGTATCTGTTTTAACATCTCATCTTTCATTTCTGATTTTAGTTATTTAAGGCCTCTCTTTTTTTCTTGGTGAATCTAGTGAAAGTATTGTCTATTTTGTTTATTTTTTTTAAAAAGTATGTGATGGCCTCCAGTGGTTCCTCAAGGTATGGGGAAAGGACTTTGAGGTTCCATGCCCTCTGTGATTCACCACTCTCCCTACATCTCTACACGTTCACCTACCCAGAAGCTCTCTGAACACTGTCCTTTTGGGATTTTATGGAGCCTTCATTACATTACTGATTAAATCATTAGTCATTGACAATTTTTTTCAGCCTCCAGCCCTCTCCTGCCCCTCCCCAGAAGTCAGGGTGGGGATCAGGGATAGGACTGATTTCATCTTGGTTCCCCTGATAATAAGCCCCCATCCTCAGTTGCTTTCCAGAAGTTACCTCATAAGCCCAGTTGTGGAAAGGAGCCTGTTAGGAATAACAGTACACCCATTTCATTTTTATGGCTCTGAATCCATTTCAGGAGCTGAGGACAAGAGCCCAAATATTATAAGAAAAGATGTTCCTATTGCTCTTACTGCTCAGGAAGTTTCATGGGTTTGGGGAGCTTTGAGCCAGGAAACATGGATGAAGACCAAATATATATATTTCTTATAACTCATGATATCAAAAATGAATATACAGAAATCTTTAAGTTGGGGGGGTAATATAAACATTTCACTGATTAGTAAATTAAGCCTTAAGATTACATTTCCTTGGTAAAAATCATTACTGATATAGATGCTATTTGTGCTAAGAATAAAATGTCTTAAACTTTACCGCTTAAACTATCCCAGAAATAACTTTTCTCAACTTTCCATTAATATGACAAGATTAAAAGTTACTAAGTCATAGGGTACCTGGGTAGCTCGGTCAGTTAAGTGTCTGCCTTCTGCTTAGGTCATGATCCCAGGGTCCTGGGATCAAGTCCTGCATCAGGCTCCCTGCTCAGCAGGGAGCCTGCTTCTCCCTCTCCCTCTGCTGCTCCCCCTGCTTGTGCTCTCTCTCAAATAAATAAACAATAAAATCTTTTTTAAAAAAGGTACTAAGTCAAAACATTTTGAAAAACATTAAAACAACTGTTTCTCAGGGTCTGAACACTGGCTAGCCTGAGAAACCACTGGAGCCATCATATACTTTTCCCCTCAAGTGAGCAGTATCTAAGAAGAAGAAGGCTGAGCAAGGTTGCAGTTCACATGCACTACCCATCCCTCATACAGAGATGCAGGGATTTTGCCAACCATAAATTTGAACTACTGTCCATTTACTGAAATCTACTTTCAGTGATACCTCAAGACTTTACTGCCTTAGACTTTACTACCCTCTAAGTATCTATAGCCTTCAAACTCAAAAAATTCAGTTCCTGGTAAAGCAATATGAATAAAGAGGGACTGGGGATGGGGATGCCCTGGGGAGTTTGGTAGGCAGAGAAGAATAAAAAAGACTTCCCTGATCTGGAATTGAACCTAGGTGAAATTTGCTAAGAGGGTAAATCATAAGTGTCCCACCACACACACGCACACACACACACAATTTTTGAAATGGTAACTGAGGTGATAAATGTTAATCAGCTTGATTGTGGTGATTATTTTACAATATATATGTATATCAAAACATCAAATCCGGGGCGCCTGGGTGGCTCAGATGGTTAAGCGTCTGCCTTCGGCTTAGGTCATGATCCCAGGGTCCTGGGATTGAGCCCCGCATCGGGCTCCCTGCTCCGCAGGAAGCCTGCTTCTCCCTCCTCCACTCCTCCTGCTTGTGTTCCCTCTCTCGCTGTGTCTCTCTCCGTCATATAAAAAAAACAAAAACAAAGCCATCAAATTGTACATCTTAAATATATACAAATTTGTCCTTAATTTTTGTACCTCAATAAAGCTGAGGGGGGAATAAAGGGAGGTTAGGGGGGAAGTGGTGCATGGAAACTGTACCGTAGCCAAGGACAGTGCTTGTAATTCTTGAAAAGTAAAGAATTTTCATGTTATTTCAGGAGAAAAAAAAATTAGAATAATCCAAAATAAATTATCATCCTAGAGACCAGTGACAGGCAACAGAGTGAGATCAAGTTACTACAGTCAGGGCTGCTAAAAGCTAGAAGTTGTTCTAGAAGTTATGTATATTTGCCTTCCACTTCAAGAATAAAAGGAACCTTCTATTAGCACTCAAGGAGGCAGTGAGAGACATCTACAGGAATCCATTCCCCCTTTAATAAACTAAACCAGACCCGTTAAAAGGATTCAGCATTCTTTTTTCAAGGATAAGCACAAAGAACAATATATAAGCAAATAAACAACCAATAATAATAATAATAATAATAATAATAAAACAGATGCAGACTTATGAAAGAAATTCTTCTGCACAAGCGAAGAAAGGACTTACTCTAAAATACTTCTTAAAATGATTTTACCTATAATAAGCAAAATTAAGTACTTTAAAATACCTAGAAATGAAACAATCTAGTTCAAAATATTTAGTATCTCAGATATCTTGGTAAACTTGGTGAAATACTAAGGATAAAAAAAATTACTAAAATCCAGGCCCAAAGATATGAAGGTTACTTAGGGACCAGACAAAATACAAGAAACCTAAAGCAAATTCCAGGCTGGCTTTAAAAATAAACCTGTGCAACATCAAACACTAAGAAATAATGGATTCTTATTTTCTTTTTTTTTTTTTTTTTCCTTTTCTGCAAAGTGACAAGGCTTGGTAGCAAATGACAACTGAAATCTTCATTTTCTGATATGCAAGTGTTTATAAATTACCGCACTGATGTAGAAACTGAAAAGTTTAACACATAATTCAGGGGGTCAAGAATTAAAATTGAGAAGTAAAAAATGGAAAATTTTGAATAAATGTTTTTATAGTGAGCCTTCATATGAGTGAATCCAAGAAATTTGTGTACACATGTTAACATTTGACACAAGAATAACAAATATCACTTGAAAAAAGATATGTAATTCTAAAAAAAAAAAATTGTACTTCTTACCTATAATCTACACCCATATTAAATTAACAAAGATCTGTAAGTATAGGATTGCATTAGAAAAAGCACAGTAAAGTTCTTGTTTTACATAGGAGAAAGGTTAAATTTGTTAAATTTGAAGCTAAAAAAAATTATATAACCAAGACCTTCCTCAAAGAATATAAAGTGACATCTCAGGAAAATGGCAGAATAGGAGAATCCTAAGTTCACCTTGTCCCATGTATAGAGCTAGATAACACCCGTATCAGTGTAAATAACCCAGAAAATGACCCAAAGAATGGCAGAACAGACTCTCCACAACTAAATGTAAAGAAGAGGCTACATCAAAGAGGTTAGAAAGGGCAGAAAAGCAGTTGGGAGCCAAATAGACCTGCAGAACTGTCCATAGGAGGGAGGGATGTGGTGGGCACAGATGGTGGACAGGACTAGACCCCCACAATAGGCACCCCAAGCATGGGGGTCCCACACTGGGAAGGTGAATGCCCATAACACTCAGCTTTGAAAACCAGAGGAGCCTAATAATCAGTGGGGATTAACACCTGAAACTTTTAAAAATCATAGGCTAGGCTCTGGGAGAGCCAGGAGGGTGAAGTCTGTGCTTTTAAAGAAACAGCACAAAAAACAGCCCCACTGATATACAGCATAGAACAACACTGTGAAAAATACCTGGGGTATATGGGAAGGAGATTTATTTACTAGTCTCAGAGCATGTGCTAGAAAGGCAGGATTCTTTGGAAGACTTCTCCAAGAACAAAAGACCTGGGGGGCACCATTTCCCTCCTCCATGCCCCCAGCATGGATACATGGACACTTGTGGGAACCAGCATAGCACCAACTCTCCAGTTAGCTTGAAACAGTATACCACACCCCTGCACTCTTCTGTGGACCCACCCCTCCAACCCAACAGGTTTCAGCAGGAGTTTTCTCAAGTGGCTGCAGGTCAACTCCACAGTGGACCAGCATGGACCTGCTGCACCATGTGTCCCACCCTCTGTTCCCCTGCAGCCCAGCCACTTCCCATATGCCTTTGGCAGGAGTTTATCCAAAGTGGTGCCACAAGTCTGTCAATGTGCAAGCAGCCCTGACGGGCCAGCACCACTCCAAAGTGACTCCTGCCCTGGGGAGAATGGAAGACAACCACACATACCAATCCAACTGTAGCCCCAGGAATGGCCTGGGGGCAGACATCTGGTGTGACTACAATCCCACCCACCAATAAAAGCTTTTTAAGGGACAGTACAGGGAAAACACCCTGTAGTTCAGTGCTACTGCCTCTCTGGCCAGTGCCTCATCTGACTCAACTCAAGCCCAAGGTGTCTCCCAACTGGCCCACTAACAACACAGAGACCAAACCCTGCCCACAACAGACAAAAGAGCCATTGCTGTTGACTGGACTGAAGGCAAAAGCAACTCAGCCACAATAGTAGGAGGTATGTAACACATATAGGAGACACCCCTGAACCGCCAGGTTCTGATGAACAGGGTACACTGCACTGCAGAGCACTACAGGACTTCTTCATAAGGCTACTACTTTCAAAAGCAGGAGATATAGCTGACTTTCTTAACACATAGAGACACAGAGAGTTAGACAAAATGAGGAGACAAA